GAGTCTTGGTAGGTGAATACACAATAGGGAGGCAAGGCCTTTTCTGTCCCCATTCAAAGGTCGACCCTAGCTGTCCAGCGGTAATTTATGATAGCGTTGTAGATCAGATACATAGTCCAACACTCTTTGTGATCTCCTACGGCAATCAATGCTATCCAGAGTACTTAATCACTTTCTGTTGACCGCAGAATCACTTGAAAGTAAAATAAGGAGAACAATTATAATCGAAGACTGCTATTTATATGAGTAGTCCTTTAAGTTTCATGAATCGTGCTCCGATCAAAAACGTATGGTAGAAGCCTCTTTGCCTCCTACAAGTCCAACCCTACGTCCTCGTCGTGGGAGGTGGAAACGGGTAATGCCGGCTAACAGGGCTCTGGTGAAGCTTGGTAGGCCAATCACCTGCCAAGTGGATATGCTACGATTACAGAAACATCGACAAACAGAAACACGTTTACAGACATCTTGGCACGAGAAGGCCCTTCCGGGAGAATGACGCGGCAGAGGCAAAGCCAGAAGGACCCTCGGCGGCTGACTAGCCTACGAAAGAGGGGCCGCTCCAAGAATACCTGGAGGAGGGATACGGAAAAAGAGATGAAGGTCCTCGGGAAGAACTGGAAGGAGCTGCAACAGCTGGCAGAAAAGAGGCGTCAGTGGCGGCAGTTTGTCGATGGCCCATGCTCCAACCTGGAGCCAGGGGCTTAACTAACTAACTAACTAGAGGCCTCTTTGAAATTTATCTACGTTTTAATGTTACCCAGTATACGTCATAAATTCAGTTCGTTTGATGAGAGTTTTAAAAGTTTTTTTTTTTTTTTTTAAAAAAGGTGGTGTTCAAGGAATCTAACATGTCCAACAACAAATTGGTGGACTTAATTCTGACAGTCACAAAGCCTTGAGGGAGTGGTGAGCACCGTGGAAATTTATTTGTTCGAAGGACTTTTAGCATTTCCTTTCCATCTTCTCTATGATTTATTGGATGAGAAAGCTGGTTGTTGAGTTATGGGATAAGTTCTGAGGCGAACACATGTACAGAAGTTTGCTACGACCAAAAGCATGTTTTTTTTTTTTTTTATTGTTCAGTAAGACAAGTCGCGGGTCGAAAACAAAGGTCGCATGATCGTTGTCATGATCGCATGCATGTTTCATTTTCCTTTTTGTTATCTGTGCATGGTTCAAAAATGCGTAGAATATTTTATTATCCAACTACATCTAGACGAGTACAAATAACGCCATAGACGAGTACAAATATCACGCGGTATTTGTACTCGTCTATTGTAGTACCGGTTAAACAGCTTTTTTTAAAAAAAGTGGCGGACAATTTGAATCATATTTCCGACGACGAAGAGTCAGAATGGCTGGAAAATATAGGTCCAAGTTCATTAGATGAATCGAACGAAGAAAAACAGCTTGACGACCAGAAACTTTCTTCATTTAATAAAGAAAATAGAAACAGCGACACAACAACGCGTCAATTCCGTTCCGCTTCGCATACTTCTGTCACGCACTCCCCGTAAATAAATATCCGCGAAATTCGCCCGCACTGAAATAACAGTTTGGCGTGTTGGATAATATATAACTTATTAGAAGTTTTGTTGTGTAGTATCGCTGAGTATTTTT